TACTTTAAATAATATTGATAAGAGATGAGACACTTATTGATACTGGAAATGGATAAATTGTAATTTTTCTTATCAATCTTTTTGTTGGAAAGGTTAATAAGCGTTTATATAAATTGTTCTATAGTCCTTAGGGTTTTTGAACTATATTTGATTGCCAACTGTATGTACGGGTAAAACCTTCATTTGTTGCTAATAATACTCTTATAATACATAAAAACTACTATTCGATGTATCAGAAGTTACACAAGAATAAAGTCTTTATAAATTCTCTGAATATTACAATATTTCAAAAGCACAATTCCCTAAACGTTTTTTGGACTTCTATTAATAAATCTGTTGCAAAATCATGATATAGGAAAAATAAAAGATTTTGTTTTTGAATGATTTATGGAAGAACATAAATTGAAAGATTTAAAGAATGTATATTTAGCTACTAGATAGTATAAAATAGAATTAGTAATATAATAAATTTGGATAAAACCTCAAATTAAAAATTAGTTTAATGATACATCAATTTTTTATTATAAATTCAAGAGGATTTTGAAAGATTTAATTGATGACAACTTCCATTTGGTTATGTAAATGACTGAAGACAAATATCAGAATATGAGAATTATGAGAATGAAAAAGATTTATTTGTGATTTTATACTAGTGAAATATAATCATTTTTTTATAAATTAAAAAAATATAGGAAAATAATATATGAATAGTCGCAGTTTAGGCCATCAGAAATTCATAACAATTCTTCTTAGATTTGTTAACATTTATTGGAAATGAAAATAAATAAAGAAAAATCATTTGATAATTAATAGTTTTATATTAAACAACTAACTAATTAAAACTAATTCACATCTTCATAAAATAGCTTTATATTTCATAAACTCTTATTTAATAATGATCCGATTATTTCTTCAAAAATATTTTTATTCTTTTTCCTCTAATTTATCAAAATCATAAGAGTAAAAAACATAATAATAAGGTTTGATTATTTTTGTCTTTTTTATATTACCTTAAGAAATTCTGAAACTTAGAATAATTTTCCTTTAAATTTTTAAATCAGCAGTAAGCTTTCTTTATGAACAAGTAAATCAGGAATTTATTTTTAATGGTAAAATCCTTTTATTTTAGTAAAATGATTAAGTCTTATCAATTTTTTCGTTAACTTTTCTTAAGCATTTATTACTTATAGCTAAAGAACTTTGATTCATGAAAGAATTTAATAAATGAAAAATTAGTTAAAAAGTTTTTATTTCTATTAAAAAAGTACATATATAAAATAAAAATTATAAAAAACAATACTGATTAATTATGTAAAAATAAATTGGATAAATTATTTATTGAATTCATTATTTAAATTATTTGTATTGAAGAAAATTAATTACCAGAAATTTTTTAAAGTTAACCAATGGTAAAATTGAGTGATATTCAATATTTGATTTTTATCTTTACGAAACATCAGATATTGTAAGTTTATTCTTTAATATTAAAAGTAAGAGAAATAATATTTTGTCTTCTCTACTTTTTTACATTTTAAATCAAAAGTTCAATTCATTTATATTCTTTCAACCTGATAATTAAATTTGTTTAATGAAGGAGAAGTATTTTACAATCTTAATTTTTTTTTAAAAAGGATAATCAATTAGGAGAACAAAGAAACTAATCAAAAAATTCTAATGATTAGTGCTAAAATATATTTACTAAGAAAATAAAAACTTCTGAAACTCAATATATTTTTTTAATTTCATATGTTGACCTATTTTGAAATAGTTATTTATTTCTAATCTATCAACATTATTAAAAATTCAATTAGTATTGAATCTTAAGCTTTAAGACTTTGTACTAATAAAATTTATATTATTAAAAAATTGTATTAAATTATTGGATATATTTTATATATGTACCCATCAAATATGGATTAACAAATCCAAGTTGGGAATTCAGTAGCATTCTTGAATTCCAACATTTCTGAGAATCTATATCCTTTATGACATAATTCTCTATTTAAAACTGAGCATAATCCTATTGGTTCCTACAAACAACCATTATGTTCCCATAAGTGATGATGGCAAAAAGGCCAAAGGTGCAGTGACAACAATATCATTTAATACTTGACTACAATTTTTGATATTGAACTATGGATATTAGATAGGCATTCATTATTTCTCTACTTAAATATTAATCCAAAAGGACTTCCATCAATATTATAAATTTATTTTTGTTTATTTTTTACATAAACTTTAATACATTCTTATTCTATCTAAATTTATATCTCTTTAATAAAAATTCATTATATCAATCATATGAATTGTTTTATTTATATAAAATATAGATCTAATTATTAAATAATACAAATTCATAGGGCCATTCAATAAAATTTATGATAGTTGTTTAGGTTATCATAACAATTATTGGTTACTAT